GGCAGAATTATGGATAGGAATGGACATAAAATTGTGCTTATTGTTCGACTGGGAGTTATGCAACTTTGCCAAGATGAGAGTAGCAAAAAGGTTTCCCATCTGGTCATTTTAGATGAAAGACAGTGTCACCAAAGACAGTTAAATAGACAGATGATCGATTATCATCTGCCATTCAGTATATGTTAGTATCGTTAATAATCGCTATGACAATAATAATGATGATACGCCATATCTTACTGATGACGAAAATGATAACGATAAATAGTGATGATAATGATGACGACCAGAGCGATGATAATTCGAGGTTAATTGTGATCATGACTGCAACACGATTCACGAAATTATTATTATAAATTATATATGTTTTCTCGAACCTTTTACAGTTCTCTTTTCCTTATCGGGAAGAGTAAAAATCAGATCATATTAGATTCATCTTTATTTCTCAACATACATCGTTGATAGCGTTTTGATGATGAAATTAAATATAATTTCTAGAAAAACTTTATTAGTCAAGTTAATATATAGCAGAATTTGTGGGATATCTACTAATGATAAAGGCTTGGATATCGCAGTATTATGATGTCATCATCTATTGTTGGTGATAAATAGATAAATGGTGACAACAACAAAGAGATACTACTGGTTATGAGTGGTAAAAGTTGATCGTACTGATGATCGGTGCACTGAGCAGATGAATGTCGTCTGTCTCAACCCAATCAATTATTCATTACCATGAGCATCGACTATATTGCTTTTCCAAATCTCGGTGTTGTACTTATTTACTTACACATCAGTTTTCATGCATTATCTTTTTACAGATCAACGAGCATGAAGTAATGGCAGAAGCTATTCGGTGTCGTCTTTCTACGGTAAAAACTTAAGTGCATCGATCGTTTACTACAATAACAAATTGAGAAACAAGAAATAATTTGGATTGAGTATAGAGAATAGATGTGAAATATAATTCAATTCCATTCATCTAATTATTGCTTCCCACTCTGAGAATTTACTGACTTGATTTCTTGTCACATAGTGATATATCTGTCGTACGAATAATGTATCGGTTGAAAAGCAAATTTATGATAGAATTGTTATATGATTAATTTAGATTAATAAATAATCGTAACCTTCCAGTTCTTTTTTCCCATGAAATTTTAAATGTTTTATTGTTTCTTTCTGCAGTGTTATCCAAGTACTGAATAGTCTCTATAATAAAGTAAAGAACCTGTAATTTCACTCTTTTCTAGTTTGTTGTAGTGACGCAGACCTACTGATAAACATCGAGAGCTTATATATTCATTATCTTTATAACCCTTATCAACTCTTTCATAAATAGCCTTTTGATGACTTCTTATCAGTAATTGTTGAGGAAAATGACTGTCCATTAATCCATGGTACATATTTCAGTAATTCAAAGTAAAAACTAATACAGTCAATATGTATAGCTTTCCAATAATCCAAACTTGTAATACATTCCAAAGATTAAGTATCAGCCTAACGCGAAAGTGTTGACCTCAAGTAAAATTAATCTCCATATCACATCAGTGGTATACATTATAATTTAAATAACCTCATCCCTCATTTTGTAGAATTTTTTTAACCTTTAGATTTAAGTTTTTTAACAGAAGGAAATATCAAACTCTTTTCTTTATGAAATTAGAAGCAACTGTTCCATTACGTTTGAAAAATTTTGGCTGAGTTGAGCAATCAATATAACAAATGACTTTAAAACTTGTGGACATCATTTGATGACTAATAACTATTTTTGGGTTCAAAAAATCTTGTATATTTATTTATTTTTATTTTTTATTCTTGATTTAACAGAAATGTATGAGTATGATGCATTTTTCCCGAGTTTCAGATGAGAATAAAAAAGAATTTATTATAAATCCGAGTCAAAAGTGATATTTATTGCCACAATAAGAATGTACCTTAAGATTCTCAAATCTTTTTTATTGTTTGTGAGGATCATTTCAATAAAATTTTTTTGGAAACTGAAACTGAGATCAGTTATTTTTATTCGCTTTATCTCTTTCTTTAAGGATTGAAGTCGAGCAAACTTTTGCATAATCTATTTCGGAGATGGGAAATTTATTCCTCTGAATCCGTCATCAGATTAATAATTTCGAATTTTTATGATCAAAAATCAGCTCTTAGATTATTTATATTGCCATAAATGTTAAAATCTCGGTAACATGGAGAATACTTTAGGCATACTCCCCTCAGTGATAACATTTTTCAGGCCTGGCATTTCATGAATTTTATACGGATATACAAAAAGCGACAAATGCAAACTTAGCGATGCAAAAATTCCAATTTTAAAAGAATAGTGGTGCAGTGTTAACCAACCCTAAAAATGTTCACAGCATTTTTCTCAACTTTTCTTTACAAATTCAAATCTTTTTCCAGCCTCCTCCTTATCACTATTCGTATTTACTATGACATGTCCGCAATTCAAATAGCACACTGCTTCCAACCACCATGAAATTTCGTTTTGAAATGTTTACAAGTCGCGATGCGATCTCAGTTACTTGTCGCCCTATCACGTATTCCGACTCTTTAGTGAATTCGTAATTTCTTTTCTCATTACATTCCATAAACCTTGTCGATTTCAATTCTCTTACCATTTTCTTTTCATCGGATTCAATAAAATTAAGCTGCCTCATTAGGCCTAGTAATAACCCTAATTTATCGAATTAAAACATTTCTTTAAGAAAATAATTTCTGCATCTTAGCATTCTTTAATCCATCTCGAAATACAGCACGTCTTACCATCTGGCAATATGCCGCGGGAATGATTTCTGCGTCCTATGATAATTGTTTTATATTAAAAAAACACTCCTAGAGATCAGCTTTATTCATAAATCTTGAACTTTAAAACATAGGTAAATATAAACTTTTTAGCTCTAACCAGTTGAGCCAAGATCTCTTAGATTTGTTTAAAGATTCTTGAGGCATGCCTCGCATTATTTTAGCATTATCCAATCTTCTTCGTCTTTATAATGTAGTAGTACTGTATCTCTCAATTATCTTTCAAAGTATATGCAAAAATTAACAGATAAGATGGAAACATTGAGAAGTCCCAAAATGAGATGAGAATTTCCTTTAAAAGAAATATGTATAATTTTGGTCAAAATTGACATTTGTGTAAAAATTCTTCCTCATAAAAGTGCGAAACATCATGCTTTACAGGAAAAGATGATACAGAAAGAGCAAACGTAGGGCTGTACTGAAGAGATTTGTCTTCGATAACAGTACAAACACCAACATTTCCAATGAATCCAAATAGACAACCAACAGAATGTAATCATATCTTTCAAAATTTTTTCGTCATTTCTCGCTCCACATTAGTTCAATTATTCAATAAATTTAAATTCTTTGCGAGTAGCCATGGCTCTCAACAGTGTATTACTACACAGCAAATCAGTTTCATTTTATTTTTCATAGAGCGCTTAATTCCATTTCCAAGATATCAAGCGAATATGGCTGTATGCGCATCCATCCTCTCATATATTTTCATCAAAGTGTTAGAATGCTTTTACCAATTATTGAGTATTTACCTAGTGGATTAGAGATGAATGTATAATCCTGCCTGATACTGTTTCATATATGCAAAACGATTGTAGCATTGAATTCATTAAATTAGTGCTAACATAGTTTCTTCCAACTAAACTTTTATTATCAAACAAATTAAAAAACCTTACATGAGAATTTTAATAGAAACATTACTATTGTCTGTTCTGAATAATTCTGATAATGAAGAAATCATTTGTTGAAGTATGTTTTGCGTGACTTCTAACGTAAAATGATATAGAGTAAATATTGCTATGCCTTATCCAACTGTTCCCTTCCTTCAAAAAATGATCGAATCAGTGACAAACGATCTCGCTGATTGAATTGGTGGCACACTCATAACCATCTTAATGACCCTGCTCTCTCTCTCTCTCTCTCTCATTCTGCTTGATTTGCCTTCGTTTTTCCCATGAATGTTTTATCGATGTTAGCGATCTTTGCCCAAAAAAGTTCACCAGCAAAGCACCAACCACTAATGATCATCAAATCATCACTCTTCTTGTGTTTGTTATTTTACGCATCAAATATTTTAAAGGTGATTTCGGTAGCAATACCAAAATCCTAAAACAAACAAAATACTTCAACAAATTGCTTTAAAATTTCTTGCTTTGTCATAAAATTCTTTTAATAATTTACAAATAATAGGGTGGAAAATTGGAGATGAAGCTTTTTTCCCAAATGCTACCAAATGTTTTAGAAAATTTAAATATCGTACTGTCCATATGCCATCAAAAATAAAGCATTGGAACACACGAGAACGCATGCTAGCATGATCGATCGATTCTATTTATCGATCTTTAAAATTTTTGTAGTTTTTACAAAAATGTATACATCTCTGGTTAGTACAAAAATTGAACAGTTTTTATCACAGAATGTAGAAATGAGGAAGGCATGTGACCAAATTCTACCTTGAAGCAAACGCACACATCCATACATATATGTATATGCACGTATTTCTCAGGTCGCTATCCAGTTCGTTAAACTGTTTTGAGTTTCTCTCCCGAAACATTTCAGTAAATGTTTCGACACATATATGTACTACCCACGATTTCTTCCAAAAATGATTTCATTTTTTTTAAGCTGAGCGGATCTTTTTTCTTTTTACCTTTCTGATTTACCTTTCTTAAATGAGAAAAATGGAGAGGTTTATGTAGCATTATTCCGAATCTGCACTTCAGTTATAACTGATTGGATATACTTCAGATATATTAGTCTATAAGTAATGATGAGAAATTTATGGGTTATAATTTTTTTGCAAATGGTTTTAGATAAACAGAAAATTTTCCCAAGTTGCTATCCAATTCGTTAAAATATTTCGGGTTTCAAAGAATGCCGATAACCCTCCCTTCCCTTCTCGCCTCTCCTCCGAATGATACTGAGGTCATCGACTGTTACCCGAACAATCCGCAATGTGTAAAACACTCGATATGTATTGTGCGAGCGTCGGTATTAATGTCGGTATTGATGCCAGTGTTGGTGTCGAGCTGATGGTGCTGGTGCTGATGTTGGTGTTGGTGTTGGTGCTGGATTGGTGCTGGTATTGGTGACGGTATTGGTGCTAGTATTGGTGCCTGTGTGTATTCGACTGTTTGGGAGACGTTCATTACAGTTGTGCTAGTACAACCCATCCGATAACTCACAACTTCGTCATAATGCGTGTCGTGCATTGCATTTTAGTCTTTTTTCGGCTTTAAAATTTTAATTCCTATCTTTTCATGAATTTATTTTTCGGAATTCTTTTGTTGAAAAAATGACAAAAGGTTGCACTTATTTTCTTTTAGAGTTTCGGAACTGATATGAATGGAGGACTTAGGTCCGGAGAAATCAGATAGTGCGTTTGAGTGCTGTTGTTTTTAATAGTTTGCTTAGTAAGAACTGCTGTTAAGCTTGTTGATAAGTGCTTTTAAAGAGAATTTTTTGTAACGTAAATGACATAAGAGGCTATATGAGAATTAGGACTATTATTTTTAAAATTTTTCGATCATATGAAACTGATCGAAGTATTGCTACAATTTTTACTATGAAGTTGCAACGTTCAAGTTTCAAAGGAATTTTTCTTTCCTCAAGTTTAAGCTAACTGATCTTTTTATTAACTCTTCTTCACTTACTGAAATACTTCGTACACATTTCGAGTCATTTGATTATCTTGTAATGCATTTTAGCAAGTTTGACAAGAAATTCAGTTTTCTTAAATTATCAAGAATGAATATTATCTACGATGATAAATGTAAAATGTGCCATCCGCTGGGTGAATAGATAGATATCCTTCGTCATCTTTAGATTTTAATTCACTCAGGAATGATTCAGTAATTTATAGTTGATCGTGTTTCTTCGTTTCAGCTGATCTGTTATAGTCAGATTTCCAATCAATTTCAAATATCATCTTCCTCGAACGGGATCCTTATCATAATATCATAATTTTCCAGCTGAGCCCTTGAGACCCCATACAAGATCTCGGAAAAAATGAATTTGGAACAAATAGTTAAAATCTTTACCAATGATAATTTTAATTTCTTGCGTTATAAAATCATAATATTCCGTGTTTCTTGCTGTAGTAACACGTATTTTTTCTATTTTTATCTGTCACGAAGATAATAGTTCACACTTTAAATTCAAACATTCAGGAAAGAATCAATGTAACCAGAAGACAAGCTGAGAAAACTCGCTATAGATATTAATGATTTCTTTATGAATGCATATTACCTGGACCTATCTAATAACATTAATAATTTTAACCTCCTTTCATTTTGACCTTGATCTGGTCTATGCTGATAGCAAAGACAATGCATTCACTGATAATGGCGCATTCTCAACCAATACTAATAAATCGAATCAGGCTATAAGGATACGATACCCAAGCAGCAGTACAATATATGGTATTACAATATACCAAAATTTTTTTGCAACTGCTTTGGACAATATTATTATTGTATACAATATTTCGTCCTATGTGAGGATTGAGGATGTGCATCGTATACAACTGTCGAAGCCAATCCGAAAGAAATTATTGGAATTTAAATTTATTAATTATGAAATGTTACTCTACTGCGATGCTTTAACGTGTAGGTTCGTCTATTTTTAATATGGAAAATGCGCAAGATTCTATAATTTTACGTACTTTAATTCTTCATCATCTGTTTCACGAAATTTCATAGATTAAAGGTAATTCAAAATGTTAGAAATTCAAATAATTTCAAGAACCATATTTTAGATTATGTGTATTGACTTCTCCAGACAAATCTTGTGTGGAATATCTGTTGACAATGAATGGAAAAAATGTTGAAGAATTGATGTATGCGACAGCAGTGAGGGATTCTAGCCACAGTGTTAACATACGCATCGTAACTAAACATGCTAACCAGGCTGCAATCCTCAGATTCCCATCGTATCATGCAGCCAACAAGTATATCATTTTTTAACAAAGTTTATAATACACTAGTATGGAGCTCAAATGTTCTAAATTGAAACTTGGAACTTTTTAAATACAAGTGAAGGATTTCTCCTACATAATTCTACAATTAATAATAATTTTATCTCTAGGGGTGATAAATTATTGTCGGTACAATCAGCAGAGGACATACGAATCATTGATAAGCATGGTCTAGCAACTGCATTCAATCGGCGTGGTTACACGTTTTTTGTGGGATCATCACGACGACCTTATGAACCTTACATCAATGCCAGAATCGAAGAACTAATTGTGATGTCTGTTCGAATAACTCGAATATGTGACAAGGATTACACGGAAAAGCTTGAGTCTCGCATTGATATGGCACTTACTTGTGGAAATTTCAGTAAATTTTTTCATTTGTCATCTAAATTAATAGTTTAAATTAAAGGCTCTTTAGTAATGAATAATCATTTTGACTTTTATGATTTCAGTTGTTAGCATTATGAACAACTTTCTAAAACGAAATTGTCAAATATTCTATTCTGTAGAGAAAAACCCACTTTCACAGTTTAAGAACCTGTCCGTGATTATTTAATTTAACTGATATCCATTGTTATTTCTCACTGATCCGTTCAGATTTCGATGTTTTTTTTAGATTTCTATGGTACAAAATCGAATTTAAAAAATGCTTTAGGTTTACAGACGGATATGGTTTCGTTGGCAGCTGAGTACTATCCCGATAGTGATGAGCTGATTGTTGTATTTCAAACATCCGAAAAAAGTGAAAATGTTGCATGTAAGTATTCTATGGACCTTGTTGATAATGCATTCGATCAAATATGGATGAGTTGTCAAAATATTTCCTCTAAGTCATCAATTAAGGCAAGTTGATTTTGTTCATTTTTGAAATATAGTTTAGCCTTATCTTTGTTTCTCTGATGATAAAAAGAAATTTTTTGCATAAACCTTTATTTTCTTGCAATTTTATGATCAACCAGTTATCCGTCTTTGAAATTTTTTCACATCATCATTGGCAGCCATATAACTGCAACACGCTGGAAAGTTAGTGTTCCAGGAAATCTTGGTTAATTCTTTGAAGAATACTTAAACTATTTGTTAGTTTGAATATGATCGAAATTTCAGGAATGTCAGAAAGTTCAAAATTCGAAAGAATTGCCTCCGTATTGCTTCATATTTTCACGACGTGCTGATGGACATGCTATGCGAACCTGCTCGAGATTTGGTGGTGTGAGTCTGTTCACTTTTAAAATTCCATAAATTTTGATTTCTCTTTAGATAGTAGCTTTTTAGATGGTTCTAGAAAAAAGAACACTGAAATTTTATTTTTCTTTTTTCTGAAATTTTATTAAAGATGAAAAGAACAGTTCTTGCAGTTATACTAAGCATTGAGCATGATCTCTAACATTTGTATTGCAGAACAATATAAAGGAACCGTTAGACAATTGTGATTTGGAATTGTTTCCATCGTTTGCATATCGTTATGGATGGTTGGAACAGTTCCATCCATTTGCAGGGCAACTCATAGCAGTGTAAGCTAATCGGAAAATTTTTTTCCGCTTTCTATTTTGAATCCATACGAAATGGAATTTTGATTGCTTAAAGAATAAAAGAAATGGAATTGAACATGAATTGAAAAACCAATTTAACAATACAGAAGAGATTCTGATTGCTTTTCTGCATACTTTTCGTATAACTCAACGCAAATAGATAAGTAACAAACAGATCTGAATCTTTATGATATTCATACGTAAATATGTTTATAGCATAATGGTAATGAAAGCTTCTGAGCATTATCGAAAAGAGCGAGAAATCTCAAAATTTGTTTTTTAGCTTTTTTTTAGTTTTTAGTTTTTTTCTTCAAAACACATATAGGACGATAAATAATATCCCGATTTTCGTGCTTGATTGAAATGCTACGAGATAAATGGAAAATGAATAGAATCAATTTTTAAAATTCATATTTCTCAAAGTATAGTATCGCATCGCATTAATTTCTGGTAGCTTACTAATAGTTTGTAATAACGATCTGCATCTATTATAGTTTACCGGGTTCCGGTGAGGATATCTTATCCGTGAAACGCTTTTATGAAGATGGCGCATTATTCACCGTTAATTCTGATGGTATTTTAAATCGGGTATTCTAATTTATTTTAAAATGATGTTAATCTCGATAGACAATATTTTATTTTTGAGAAGAAAAGTTTTGAGTTTTTTTCTGGATTCGGTAAACTTTAGGTATCGGATCAAACGGATCAAGTGGCATCGTCGCTCCTATGGTCACTTCGACTGCAGCAGGCTCATTTCACCAAACAATTTCGTACTGCTCAATACTGCATCGCTGCGGATTTGTTACGCAATCGAATTTATTTCGTTCAAGATAACAAAGTTCATGATTTTTTTCCAGAGCTGATTTTCTAATTCATAAAAGATTTTTTTTGAATAGCTGAAAGGAAGATTTTTAAATCTCAAAAAATCCATACAGTAAACGAACTCATTCCAGTTTTTTTAGAATCGATTTTCTTTCTATTTCTAGCTAAGCTATGCAGAACTGGCGTGTTCCTACTTTTATGACAGCTGTGACTCATTAGAACGGTCGAACTGGTCCGATCCGCTTCAGTGCCTTTGGTGTGCTATGAAAAATGGTTCTGGTTATGCGTTTTCACGATCGGAAGACAACTGTCCATCATATACTGTTGACAACCTTTGTACACCATTTATTGAACATGTAAGTTACTGTTGTTGTTCTTATCATGTACTCTTAGTGTGAAATTTGTCCAAAAAATGCCGTTAAATCTTGAGAAATGATTTGTTCAAAATCATTTTTTTAAGAAAAATTGCTGCTAGAAGTTAAGAAAAAAAGCTCTGTTGTGTTATCAGATTGCAAGCAATGTGAAATAAAGCAGAAGTTAAATTTCTGCGTATTAGAGTTAGCTTTAAGTCCAAGTTAGTGATACCTCCGTTCATTACGATAATTGGCCTTCCAATTTGTTTGTATCTTGTTTTTTTGAAACTTTTGTGAAATTTAGTCAAAAGAAAGCCAAAAAATATTTTGAAAAGTGTCAAATTGAGTGTTGTGGTTTACCGGCAAAATTTATGTACTCGAACAGTAATATTTAAGATAAATGTTCCATCGTCAAGTTCTTCCAACTACAACACCTCGCTTGAAATATATGGTAGGAAATTCGATAGGCTACAAAATATTGTTGCCAAAGTATGTGATCGGAACTGTACCATTTCAAATTTCAGAGCAACAAAGTTTGTTATATTTGACTTTTTTTTGTAAGGTAAAAGAGATTTTTTTTTATTTTACAAAATATATTTGGTCTATAGCTTTAGTGGCTGGTGTCAAAGAAATTGATCTCATCTTCCTGAAAGAATTGATTATTGATAAATAATGAAAAAGGGCAGTGCAATTTCAGTATGTTGACATATTTTTAAGGCTATCTTGTGTTGTGAATATGTCAACCAATGCTGTGGAAAATTGTAATTTTTATTTGGAAGGGAAGCTGAGATCGTTTGGCCTATTCAGCATCACTTTTGAATTGCCGAAAAAACGCAGTTCCCACATTACAAATATCATTTTGGCAAGCACATACCCACATTCAAAGTATTTTTTGAATTGAACTTACAAATTTTTTATTAGTTCAATTTAATACATAGAACTGGTTATCCAACTCAAATTTCTTGAAACTTCGCACATCGTTATTTTGAAAAAACTATTTCTGCATAATCTTGCAATGACATTGTTAGATGTCAGATGTTATCGGGTATACTCAACTTTTTTTCTGCTGTAATTAAAAATTGATAGTGTGTAAGTTGACTATCCAAATTGATTTTAAGGCAAAGCAGAGCAATTGCAGCAATATTTGCAGTGATTGTACTTGCATTTCTGATCGTACTTATTTTATGTCTTCTTCGTCAATTCCATAAAGTTAGCCTTGAACTGTTATTAGAAATGAAAATCATATTTTTCATTTGAAATTCCATTTTCATATTATCTAGCATGATATATCGAGAATGTGTTATTACAATGTTTCACACATGAATTAACTGTTATCCATTCTTTCCCTACAGCATCAACGAAACCGAATGAAACAATCCGATATAAGTGGCTCACAAATAGCACTTGACACAAGTCATGCTACATTCGGTTAGTTCATTTTTCGATCTGAAGTAATTTCCTATTATTACTGTTACCTACTTTAGTTTCTGTTGTTTGTTTACTGGATTTTTCATATTCAAACGCATATTTTACAAACAGTTTCTTTTAGCGAGCAGTAATCCGTTCACGAGCCTCAAAAGAAAAGGTGACAAAATAAAAACATTTAATCCGTATGAAAATCTCTTTATGGAAATTGATTCGAAGTTGCAAATACCTCTGAAGAATTTGGAATTGGGTGATGAAATTGGAAAAGGTAGCGTGATTTATCTAATGTCATTTTATTACGGACTACCAGTTATTGCTAATTGCGACGATACATGAGCTAATCTGTACTGTTATATTTTGTAGGAAATTTTGGTATTGTTTATCGGGCGGTATATCGAAGCGCTGATGGTCGATTAGTAGATGTAGCGTGTAAAACAATCGATTCACATAATGATGGTGTGATAACCGGTATTAGCGAATTTTTACAAGAAGGCTTGATTATGGCTAATTTTGATCATCCAAATGTTGCTCGACTTATTGGTATTTCCTCAACCAATAATAATTATCCGATCATTGTTACTGATTTCATGGCTCAAGGAGATTTACGACATTATATCATTAATCCGGAAAACGTACCTTTTATTTTACTTTATTTCATGTTTTAACAAAACTTAAAATTCCCATAAAGCAGTTTTAATAAATTATTTTTTTTGATCATCCATTAAACCTGCCTTCGTGTTTTCATTTTTTAAATGTTCCAGTTAAATTTAATATTCATTTCCCATACAACTTCCGTTCTCGCTTTAATACTTTATTTTACCTACAGAGACTCACATTTGGCAATCTCCTTGACTTTGGCATTCAAATTGCAAAAGGAATGACTTACTTGCATGATAAACAGTTTATTCATCGAGATCTTGCTGCACGAAACTGCATGTTTGTCAACAAATTTTCTTGCAATTCTTGAAATCATTAAATGATCCTTTTTTTGCGTCGTTAAGTTTTGCTAACTTGAAAAATGCTGTCAAGCTTTTGATTCATTTTGTAATCATTGAAGGCTAGATGCTCATCTTGTTGTTAAAATTGCTGATTTTGGTTTGAGTCGGGATGTATCACGATGTGGAATGTATCAGGCTATTCATAAAGATCGCGGAATCCCAATTCGATGGATGCCCATTGAATCGCTTGAAGAACAACAGGTTTTCCATTTGTTCATGTCAGACAGCTCAACTTTTGAGTACGTGATTAATCTCACTTCATAATATACTATAGAATATCTAAAACTGCTAGTTTTTCATCAAAATAACCAAAATAACCAAGAACCCTCAAATTTTGTAATGAATGATCTATTCCAGTTGATGTTGGTAGATTGCACTATTGACAGATGAACTATCAATTACTGAAAGTTTTGGCCTGTCTAAACAGCTGTATGAATCTGTAGGATACCTTATCAGATGATCTATGTTTGGGCATCTTTAAGTGTATTATAACTTAAAAAATGTCGCCAGACTTTCGATTCATATTGTAGTCATTCAAGGCTAGATATGTTTTTAAAATTTTAGGTTTTGATTCAAGTTAAAATATATTAAATGTTCGCTTGGCATAATATTTAGCTGTGTATATCAATCAATTACCAATTTCAGATAAAATTAAATTTTTATTCTTAGCAGTATAAAAAGGATACTGCTAAGAATAAAAATTTAATTTTATTTTATACAGGAATGATTTTAAGTAATTAATCAATCATTGAAATGTGTATTGCAGTATACATTCAAAGCAGATGTTTGGGCATATGGAATTGTACTGTGGGAATTAGCTACGCGAGGTTTAATTCCTTATGCAGACCTTGAATTTACGGATATCCTCCGTTTATTAAAGAGTGGACATCGTTTGATGAAACCGAAAGGATGTCCTGATCACTTGTATTTTTTATTTCAATTGCCGTTTGGAATCAATTTCATTAGCCTGATCACACTTTTGTTTTAACAGCTCTAATAATACACTTCAAATCGCTGTACCTGTTTACCAATAGTGATTTTCATTATGGCTGCATTGGTCAAATTCCAATTACCAGTGTATATTCTTGAATGTTAAAAGGCATAGCTTGAGTTAAAAAGCGAAAAGTTAGAAGCTTGATTCGGACTTTTTTTTAAATTTTCAGAATTTTGCGAATGCCCAGAAAAAAAAAGATCTGTACATGTTCCAGATATCATCATGTTATGCGACGGTGCTGGATGGAAGACCCGAAACGTCGACCAACATTCTTCGAGTTAACAGAAATGATGCAAGATGTTGTACGACAGTTACGACGTGGTGTATCAGGTGGTGCACTTCTGGACAGTCACTATGAACGTGTCTCTGCACATTCATTTACTACACCACACATCACTAATTCCAGGGCAAGTGATGATACTATTATTACAGATTTATAAATGTGTTTCATTTAAGTTAAATCAACTTTGCTTTCCACAGTGGATTTCCTAATCGGAAGAGCAGTTAATAATCATTTTTCGATTGAAACAATAAACTTCACAGACGTGAATCACATCAACAGTCTCTCATACCAGTGGTCAGTTGTAACGCACTTTTTACCTCAATTTGTCAATTACGATGTCGTTAACGTTTGTTCCTTTGCATCTTTATAGCGCTCTTCAGTACCTCCGTACAAAATGTATTTAATCAAACTATTTGTTAGACTCTTATTCACTAACCGATCGCTATCTCTTATACACCAAATTCAACCATATTTCCAAATCCAGCAGACATATAATGTAGTTTGTTATAAGAGGTAATTATGTGCACCATGGGCAATGCTAAGAACCAAGACGAATACACAGTGAACTTTGCAACAGTCTTAAGGCTTCGAGAGAACAAATTTTCATATTTTCAAACTATGGCTTAGAGCTCGAGGCAACGAACTTCCGTGGCAGATTTGAAAATAAAGGGTAATAGTGTTCAATTATGTGAATTTCGCTAATAAGTCTTTTATTCATAAAAATTCTAAAATAAAAAGTACTTTAAAAACGAGTTAAATGAATAAGCACAAATGATATTTAAAACATTACATAACGAAATTCAATGAGTCAGTAAGTATAACTACTTTAACACTTAACATCTCGCATGAAAATTTCCGATTAACCACAAATTCATTTGGAAAAATACCGGTGCTGTCCCAGGCGTCACTGAGAATATAAAAAAGGAACCACCGTATATATATCACAACACCTGAGGAAAGAATAAAACCTTATATTTTAAAGTAATGATTTAAGTCGCAATAAAAGTAAGAGGTAAAAAAAGTATTTATGTTTAATGGGAATTACTTCAAAACAATTAAAAAGACGGGAGAATGTCAAGTCACTTATCAAACTTTAGCAGTTAGATCTTGGTTTAAAAAAAAACTTTAAAAAGTGATGTCAGACAATATCCACGCATTCATCTCTTAGATCCTTGATTTAATGGCGTATGGCACTATTCGTTCTACCACAGCATATCCCAACAATAGTCAGTATAAATTACAATAAGAGGTAGTGGGTATATGTTATTTTTACTAAAATTTTTCACAAAATAGACTTGCTGCTGTAAAATTTTAAGTGACTTCACTAAATTCACTTTTAACTTCCTTTCTGAGCTTCTTAGTGACAGGTTCTGCAGATGTTTCATGCACCCGTGAAGTAGAGGATGAAGCCTGGGCATTCTGCAATATTTTGTCACTCGAACAACAAACAGTTCTCTAAATGGCAGCGGAAACAGAAATAAAAACTTACAATTAATAAAAATTTTTGAACTAAGCAGAAAAAAAGGTGTATTAGAGTACCATGATTTAGATCAAGAGTTCCGAATAAACAATAAGAAATACAGCTTTTAAATACCGCGCGCATTTTAGTATTTTGGATGGCAGACTAAAAATATCTACCTGCTCTTTTTGTATTAGTCCTGCATGACGATTTTCCGAATATCTATTCACATATAACCACACTTGACTTTTCATACACGGAAGATTTTCCTTTACAGCTTTACTATATATTTGATAGACAGAACGTCCCGCCTTCGCTACTTCATCACCTGGCTGAAAGTGTGAACAATTGAAAGACTGAAGTAAAACCTTACATAATTTCAAAACAAAAGTTACAATAACCATTCCTATTTTCGAGCTCCTATACAGAGTCGAATATTCACGAATTCTATACTTAGGATTTTCAAGTTAGGATATATATCACATAAAACAAATTAAGATTTAAAAGCGCAATGAGCTATTTAAGAGTTAATTTCGCAAATCATCACACGAATAGTTCAAATTTTGTATACAAAAATATTCATTCAACTTATAACGTGGCAGTGATATACCGATCCTCTCTAATGTAACAGTGACTTTACGAACTCATAAAATCGAAGTACTAGAAAAACGTTTACTGCATTGAAGGTCGAGCAATTCTCAAAAACTAAGTTCATGCACTGAATAAACTGTGCAACGTTCGTGAATGCATCCTTCGACTTTTCTTTCAAACGTCGTGCAATAGTAGAAAAATCCATAGGCTGTTTGATGATCATATGATAGCTAACGACAGTTCGTGGTACAGGCTGACAAAATGGTTCCACATCCAAATGTTTTTCATAGCAACTCAATAAAACCTTTGAGCAGAGCTAAAATTAATGTTTATCATCATCTCAAATTCCTCACTCAGAGAAAATAAAATTTTTTCACCATTTCGTCATAGGCATGAGAAAAAAGGTCATGAACATATCATTCAATTAGATTTAAACTTTTACTAGTCTCTCGCGTTGTCCCATTGTACCCGCATTTTCGTGCAATGGTTCTGCTTCAGTACATAGTGAGCATGCCCATTCATCCCTAAAATTGCTACTTCAAGGCAATCAAAGTTATTGCTTATTTCTTGCTTATTCTAAGTTATGTTTGATTGCTTATTTAGGGAATCAAATATAACTTAAAGTTCTCAACATAACTTTTTTTGGGAACAGTCAAAATTGAAGCATCAAACAATTACTGACCCACTTAATATTCCAAACTGTACTTAAACATATGAACTCTACTTTTTAATAGCGATTTTGCAGAATTTATTATTAATGTAAGCAAAAAAAAATGAGGAAAAACTTTCCGGTGCCTCGGAATATTAACCACAACTCACAAAAACGTAAATTCAGACATCAAGCTATTCATCAACGATAGTCAAGAACCACTCAATAACCTCCACAAAAACATACGGTAAATTCTCCATCAGCTCTTTTATGGCCGGGATATGACAAATATTATGAAAAACACGTGGACAACGCGCACAACAACCAAGAGAGCCAGTTTTTTCATCACAGCCTTGCTGGCAAACATAGCAATAATCATCCCATCTTGACTCATCATTATCTGCCGAACTTCCTGCTCAAATTAAATTTTTTTCTTGAGCCACTTATGGAAAATTTATTTCAAGGCAAGTCAGTGTAGAATGAAAGTCTACGGTCAACAAAAAATCCTGCAGTTAAGGACTTTAATGGAATTCAAAGTCCTTAGAGTTATTGTTCCTATGACTGTGACAAAAAAGCAGTGGTGTCAAATGTAACGGTTGTAGATTTTTCTGGAAACTTAAAAACTATGCTGTTATAAGAACAGCCAAGAATAGGATACTTAGAAGAAGTATAGTTGAACTAGCAGAAATTTAAATAAACCTTGCTGCCCACTTCCAGTTCTCATCGGTTCTGAATCCGACTTGAACATATTTGATATCTTTGCAATTTCGTCATTGCTTTTTTTGATGCTAACTGTTATTTTCAGTGGAGCTGGTTCTGGGTCTTTTGGTGGTGGTGAGCTAACACTGCAATTACGAATAAAATCTTACTAATGTTCACTAAAAACATTTCCCAGAAATGGTAAGATTGTATGTTACATGCTAAATATTGCTACAAAACAAGACATTAACCTACCATGTACTTGCTGACGTTCCAGAATTGGTAGGAGTACATTTTTGTTGGGTCGAAGGTATTACACTGAGATTAGAGACTTGTGAATTAAAGCATACACCGGACCTATCATCAGGTGCAGATGTGTCAACATCTTCAGTGCATATAACAGAGTTGTTTGAACTGTCTACGGATAAGGTATTTGTTGTAATTGAAGTGGATGATGATATGGTTTGTGTAGTAGGAGAAAGAGCAAAAGTGGAAATCGAATCCACGTTTGAAACCGGCGAGGGATTAATCATGCTATGCCGATTAGCCTGCATCCTATAAAAATATCGTAATTAGCCTCATTAATATGTAAAAACATCATAAGCAATGGCACAAGAATCAAGAACGAAGGTAATGTTTGGCAACCTTCATAATTCTTGATCTGAGAAAAAGGGTCACCAATTAAAACCAGACAGAAAAATACAATTCCGAAAGTAATTTGTTGCAGATTGACGTAAAAATACGATCAACTTTAAGAAAAAAATTGGCATCGTATTATAGCAAATAAACAGTACAATAATTCTCGTCTAAGAATCGCACTCGCATGGGTCCCTGGAGGAAAAGAAGAACTAGATAAGCTGTTTCCGGACTGTGAGCCTGTTAATTGAACACTCGAGACTCGGTTAACGTCTGCAATGTAATTAACTGTCCAAGCAAAACAATTTCATAAAATTTAAGCATGTAGGATAACCGTACAATTAAACTATCGCTTTTTCATCATTTTTAAAAGTGCATTTGAAATTGGCCTCATACAGCGAACGGTCAAGACATTTGAATGTTCTCTCAAAAAGCAATTGTTATACTAATGAATATATATAGTGGCAAAATGTACAAACGGTCAACAAAAACATTGAAGCACTGCAAAAGTGTAAAGTCCTGTTGAATTGCGCAAGTATTTCTTAAAGTTTGTCGATTTACTGGGACATCTTAAAACTGTTTAAAGGCAAACAATATTCGTCTATAAAGATGCTTATAGAGAACTTACTGTTACATGCTAAATTTGTTGTTGGTGGTTGCTGAGTTGGCACAGAACTTGGCAAAAACATTCGTTGAGAAGCATATGGGAGGATCGGCCCAGCAGGTAGGGTATACGGAGAAACATAAGGTCTCTCGGCCTGAGTCAACCCAGCTGTAAATCAAATTTTAATTGCACTGAACCCATAAGCAGTAAAGAATAAGACCCACCGATAAAATCCCAATTTAGAAATGTAGAGTCAAAAACTCTAATCCAAAAAAGCGTTGTCCCTAAAAGTTGTCCCTCATTTTCCCTAAAAGCTAGGTTTACTTTCGCGATATCCCTTATCCATCAAATTTTTTCAAAACCATATGAAAATAGCTCCCTTGTAATTTCAAATATATCACTCTATCTCCGAAAGTTACTCCTACATTTCCCAAACAACTGGTACCGTTCTTATATTGCAATTAAAACAAGTGAAAAAAAAATGGAATTCAACTCACAAACATATGGGTACGAATATCGTGGGCCTGGCAACTGAATAGATCCAGGACGTTGAGCATTTTCAGCCAGCAGAGGACCGATAAACTGCGACTGTGGAAATCCTGGTCTCCGAGCATTTTGCATTTGTCTCGCTGCCAACTATAAGGATTCAGATACATTTACAACTAATGATTCTTTATTGAAAAATGGCGATAAGTATTTACGTTCCAAAAAACCTAAGCTTAACATTAGTGGTAAGATTTAGAATTCCTCAGAGTTTTATGAACACTAAAAAGCGTCTCTGTATGAAGAACAAAAACCAACCTCCTGAACATGAAACTGCTGCTGTTGTAAAAACCGAGAATGCTCCTGTGATACTGGTGGTCGTATGGTAATTGGATTTGTAGTGTTTGGCCCAACTGATCCATTAGAGCATGAACGTTGTACATAGATATTTGTCGATGGACAAGATCCTCTCAATCTATTCGTTGCAATGTCGAACAATGGAACATCTATAGGATTTGAAGAAATAGGTGTTGGCGTAACTTCTACCTAAAGGATTCCTAAACGTGATGAAAAATACAGATAAGCATGCAATTATAGATGATTTTGTTCAACAATCATGCAGGTAATTTGTGAGATTCACATATTGCACTGAAGATATATTCAAGGAAACAACTCTTTCTGTTATTTCACCGCAAACGTTCCATTTTTTTATAGAAAAACACAACTACTGACAGTTTTTAGTGTTCCTAAATCATCGACTTCGGCAAAAATCCGTCCCCACTGACTGATATTCGCTAGAATATGTTCTATATCTGGTTTGAACTGTATCGTCGCTGGACGCTGCAGGCCATTCAGGCTCCTCTGAAACTTTTGAGAATTTACAGAATAAATTTCATTAGCAATCAACATAAAGTTCTTTCGAAAAATATAAAAGATACTAAAAAATATGGCAAACTTAACAAACCTCACTACTGACTTTCTTTGCTTTAATAACTATTATACAGTTCTCCAAAAATTGCCGCATAATTACAAGCGTTGTGAGATCTTCGAAATCTTTGATGCGTGAAGCGTATGAGCTAATCTGTAATCAACTTAGATTTTCAAAAATTAATCGATATAAAATGATAAAAAAAAACTGAAGTTCAGGATAATTTTGTAATCAGACATTCAAGTTACACTTACTCTACTGAATCGTCGTTTTTGCCAAAGCAGTTCACTACGAAGTTTATCATACTCTTGTCCTTTGTAAAATTGAACGGCATCTAACGCCCGCAACAGATCATTTCCCCTTCTCATCACCTGCAAAAAAAATAAAATTTACAGAAGCTTAGTAGTCAGAAAAACTATTATAATAAACCACTCAGCATTTATATAGGAACTGTGACTTATTTTCAAATTTCACTTTAATATTTTATCCTGAGTAAAAAGCTTCAATACTCGCCTTGCTTCTGTCTCAAATATAAATTCCACATCAAATTTTAAAGGAATTGCTGAATGAATGATCTTAATACAAACTGCCGATATTTTGAAAACAAAGGATTAAAATCCCAAATTTATGTGAATCTAGGATACCGAATTTACTTCATGTAAATCTAGGGTACCAAATTTACTTAAAGTAAATTCGGGATAATAAGCGAAGGAAAAGATTTTATGTAGGCAAAACTGAGAGGAAGAATTATATGATCAGCTCTACAACACTCAAAAATAGTTTCACATAATGATCCTTTAATTCAAATAATTACCGCTTGACAAATATGTACAACTTGATTCCCAACTTCCTTCTTTAAATTAGCAACACGTTCAGTCAAAGCATTCTTGCGCACTTGTATCATTGATAAACTGGAAAGTCTTTTTATAATTTTGTAAGTTACTAAAATAATGGTCCTTCAAACGCTCATTACATGACTTCCAGCTAAATTAGATCTTGGACTAACATTTACAGCTTGGAAAGAGGATAAAACAAAAAATGATAGTTAAGAACTCCATAAATTGACAAATCGACAACTTTTACGAAATCTATTAATTGCAGTATTTAAAAAGCAATATCCACACCTGCAATCAATGTGTGTTGTCTCTCGTGCTGTTGAAGACATGATTTTACTTTCATCGACGTGAGCATTTGATAAATGAGATAAAGGTGTTATCATATGTGAAGGACCCTCATGAAACCTACTGGCGATACAAGTCATACATACATACTGCAAAGTAGAGTTTACACACCGTTAAGGACTGAGTGAAGATACTAATAAAAACAGCAGATAAAAACTTCTAAATATTAATTTTAATACCATTATAACTGTGGCAAAAATCCAATTACCAAACAGAAAGCCCTTACCGTACCACACTGACATAACGATATAATTTTCATATTGTTATGGAGACGACAACGGATGCACTTTGGAATCACAGGGGATAACTAAAAATGATAAAACGATTTCAAAAGAAATTTTTCAAATACATCAACCTTTGCAAAATTGCTATAAGCTGGTGCTTTTAATAAAAAGATCTGAAGATGAGTTCCCAGTGATGGACTGCAAATATTATACTGATTTTTCTATTTACGGTTAAAAAAGGTGAAGCTTGAAAAAGTTTCGAGATGTTTTTAACAAGAGAGGAGTTTTTCAATAATTCAAAAACAGCATTCATTTTTCCTTTCTGGCTGGACATTTAAAAAAAGGCACAACAATTAATAATCAATAAACATGAGTCTTGAAGCAATAGAAGCAATTATTTACGACTACAATTTTTCACCGTAAAATGAATTTTAAAAAAATATTAACTAACAGTTTGTAAAAAATGAGAAGATGTCGCGGTGACGCGTTGATGTGCTAGGCTACAATCTGCACATAAAGCTTCATTGCAAATAATACATTTAGTTGTGGCTTGATGCTTATCTGGACAGACTGCAGATTCACACTTTCTGAAACAGAATACGAAATATTCCGATGTAATCAATCACAGTATAATGACAAAAAGCACTTCTTGTACAGTGTTTTAAAAGAGTTCATCAAAAACAGCAAAAAAAGTTGCCAACTCCAATTATTAATTAATCACTCTTTAGCGACTAAATAAATAATAACTAATAATAATAAATAAATAATACAAATAACAACTCCGTTCATATATTTACAAGATTTGGTTCAAAAATGTATGAGGCAGACCTTACAGCACAATCGCTTGCATTTGGAAGATTAAGTACATGAGATCGCAGACATTCCGTACGGCAAACCTGGCAGATTAACGTCTGGTGATTCATTGACGCTGCAACCAAATCAAAATTTCAATATTTTTTCAACTTTGCATGTTTTTTTGTATAAATAACTATAAAACTGCACAGAACTGCACATAAAAAAATACCACACCTTGCTCACATTTAGTTTTACAGGACGGACAAAAAGTATGAAGACATGGCAGTAGTGCTGTTGTAGGAGTTAAATCAGCGGGTGGAGAGAAACCGCAGAGTTTTGCGCGACACAAATCACACCGGTTAAAGTCTTCTCCCATCTGCAAAGTACTTGATCAAACATATTCATGTAATTATACCAAATTAATCCGTTCGCAAATCGGATTGAAAAGAACAAAAAACATATACAGTAAGCTGATAACGAAATTTTAGCAAACCATCTCCATAATAAAAAGATTGAGTAACCGTATAACCACTCTGCAAAAGCCTGAGTGAATTAGGATATGAAGCTATGAGATGATAAATGGTTAACTCTGGTGGATCCACCAGAAGACGCCATAAAGAGTGCTTTATAAGCATTACTCGACGAAATTAAATCTAACATGTAACCACAACACTCATCCAAATTAACTCATCCTGTTGATGATCTGCGTGCATCATCATTATAAACTGCATCTATATGTCTACGTTTTCATACACCACGTGTTAGAGGAAAACGTACATGCACATATGCCAATAGACGTCTGCGTACGGCTACCTGACGTCACTTAAACAAACAGAACGGATGAAAGAAAATCTCAGGCGAGAACCACAAGATGTGAGACATATGCGTACCCCTTTCTCCTGTCCACTTTACTAATGGTGTGTGTTTGTGTGATGGCTGTCGACCGTGCAATCGGTTTGCGAGCCGGCTCGAACCGGATTGTTCCGGCTCACCATAGGGGATTGCTTGCCTTTTTGCCTGCTGTTGTGAAAGCGAGAGCGAAGCGCAGTGACATATGAAGAAGCCACAGAAACGAATCGATAATGGGCATAATACAAATATCGAAGAACATAGACGAGACGAAGAGAAGGTTGCGACGGGATGTTATGTGACGGTTTTTGCGACAATAGGTCGCATGACAATTCTTGCAACTAACATGTGTGGCCAGCAAATGACACTTTCTTGAGATAGGATGCCAAAGCAAGATAAAGAAGGCAAGTGCTGCACTTAAAATCATCCTTCGTTTAAACCTAGTCGTTGAAATGGGAAGATGGGAATAGCAATTATCATAACACACTTTGTTAATATGACTACCGTTGGTATGCATTGATAAGCAAAAGCAAACATCGTTATAAGAAAATATAAAACTGTTACAGCAAGCATGAGGCGCAAAATTTATGTGAATTCATTCACAAATGGCATTAGTTCCGAACCTGGATTTTATGAGCCATAAAACTTAAGAAGGATTAATGTCATATTCCACATTATTTTCCGAAGTAGTTCACCCTATATTGAAAGTGGAAATCCGCAGGGCAAGAATCTCATTCTGATCCCTGAACATCTCTGTATCCAAAATTAATTTGTTTTAATAAAGAAATCCTCCAATTACATTCCTTCCATACTGCCCTCTTATGTTTCCAACTTTAGTTACTAGCTCTTTGGATGAAATCAGTTCTTTTCTGCAGGTTGATCCCTAACTGTTTTGAAAAAAAATGAAAAGAATAAAATTGAATGCCAGTATTAATTGCAAGCTAAAACAAACTAGAACAAGAAACGTTACGGCAAGCTTACTGAATTGATTTGTTCCTTTTTTTCACCTACACTATATATATGTATTTCTATGATCAAATTTTGAATGTTTATTCCACTTGTTTATATTACTTTTAACAATACTCAGGTCAAAAGTGGTTGTGATTTATGAATTTCTTCTCTATCATTCTATCTTGCTATAGGTAAGATCAGTTGTTTACTAATAAGTAACTCTCTGTTAAATACTTTTTAAGTTCTCCAATCATTTTCGTATTCTTTTCTAAAAAAATATTGAGCTCTTTATGCATCCCGGAACTTCCTCATAACTGACTTCTATATTGTTGCATTTCTTGGCCAATTATCAACAAATTTTCGATCTCATTTAGTCCAATTCAACCGAAATTGGGAAATGTTTCGTCCCATGTGAAGATTTGGAGAGTTTTAATCGACTTTGTTGTAAAACTTTTATTATAACAATTCCAGTTTAGAAGCATGTGAAATTTTGAAGCAAATTCAACAAAAAATTTTTTTCAAAAATTCCAAGAAATTGAAAGCTGCCCGCAAATTTCAACTAATTGCTAATTTACTGAACTAATTAAGGTCTTAATCCGAAATTCTACTAATGATTAAATATTATAAATCCTACAGCACATGACACCTGTTGTAGAAGTCTTTGTTGTGATAAACGAATAGTTGTGACAAATGTTTTATTGTTTGACGGAATACTTATCCTTTTAAAAACATTATAACAATCATCACTATACTGATACAGGTGATACTACTGGTAGAAATAATGGAAGTAATGAATTAGCAATGAAAGTAATAAATACGAACCAACTCAAAGCATCCTTTTAGAAACAAACAGATCAAGTAAAAATATTTTTCTACTATTTGACAAATGAAGCGCATTCATTTAGTCTTTTTTGGAAACAGAAAGAACTACGTGATCAAGAAATCCACCACTAAACATTTTAAGACAATCGAACCACTGAAAACAATCTTGCAGTACAAATTCTTACAGTACAAATACCTGGATTATTTCAACGTATTTACATTACAAAAATATTTCAGTTTTCCGACTTCCGCCACAATCGATATCCCTTGGATTTTCAGTACCTTTCTAGCACCATAAGTATAAAATATTCATTCCTGTTCTAAAAACAGCTGGTCACAAATCAACTTATAAAAAATACTGCTCCGGAAATTCCGAAGTAAGTAAAGTCAGGGCATATGGTACAATCATTTGACTCACGAACCTTTGCATCCTTGCTATCCGTGCCAGAAAAACAAAATTTTAAGGTCCTTTTGTCTTTAGCATTTTTGAACGCACTGTGGATTCTGTCTTGTCATTTTACCGTCTCATTTTCCCGAAGAATTGCACTGGTAAATATGGATATAAAACTAAATCCATCAATTAGTGATGTGGCAACAAATGAAATTCCCAATAATTACTATTTCCAAAAACTCTAAACAGCAAATGCGACGAGTACCAGCGGCATAAATACTCCAATAAATACCGAAAAAATGGAGATTAACCTTAAATACAATACGACACAGATCGACACACGAAGATGCATATGATACATACATAACAGACAAATTACACGCGATAATATAACACATCAAAAAACTATTCCAGGAAGGATTTGTGAACGAAATGAATGATGGAGGAACGCATATTACCTTAACGCTTACTGCTAATAATTTTCGAAAAAAGTGAAAAATTGACATAAGAAAGAAAACCCAACATCAATCAATCAAAACAAAAGAAACTGGAGAAAAATACGAATGTAACAGGAGTATTGATTTGTGCTTTTAAATAAACGCTAAATACTTGCAAGTCAAAATGAAACAGTGGGCAAGTAGCAATTTAATCATAGATGGAAAAAAAGAGCAAGAAAATCTATGGTATTAAAAAAAGGGAGACAAATTTACCAAGCAAATCAAATATTTCGAAAATTTGTGGAAGAAAAAAATAGATGAGAAAAGCAACGAAGAATCGTGATGGAAATCAAAACATGTAGTAAAAAACTACATGACAAGTAATTACCAGCATTTCGAGTAGAGTAACGATAACCCAGTCCAATGACCACAGAATATTCAGGAAAATGCTATAAAAAGGCTAATATAATGGAACTCGTAAGTTCCTGAATTTTACACTCTCTGAAATCTTCTGGTCATGCATTAGCACATAATGGCATCACTTGCACTTACCATTCCCAATTTAGATGCATACTATTTCATACGCATCATTATATCATTTTATAATATTCGACTTTGCATTTCCATATAAAATGCCCAAGAATTCTCTTTAATGCTTTAGTAAAGATACAATTTCTAGTTCTTTCTCACAATTAAAGAACAAAATGAATGAGTAAATAAAACAGTTAAAGTTAATAAGTTCCAAAACTTTAGAAACAATGCAACAGGTTAGTAATACTTAACAGAAAAATAAACTGTGGAGAGTCATGAATTAATACGATATTTGTTCTTCCACATCAGCAGCAACCGTGGCATCAACACCATCAGTGTACATCTGCAGTGGTGCATTTACCTGAGATGTGATCCATCCTTCACCCGTTTGATAACGACGTCGTGACGGACGCTCTCCAAATAAACGTTCCGGATCGTCAGCCGCCTGAATTGAACGAGCCTGGGCACGCATCTCGCCATAGAGATTTTTTGGCGAGCGCTGAGGCAAAATCTAGAAAAATAGATCATAGTACCACAAATAGTGAGCACCTTTATTATTCATCACGTTGAGCGTAATAACCTCACCAGTTTCATTTAAGAAAATTTTTATTCAAAAACTCTATCATAAAACTTCCTTTTCTAAAGAAGTTCGTCCTCAAACCTGACTACTTGGTAAGGGTATGTTGTGCCAGTCGGTATAAATACAGCGACTATGTTTCAGATTCAGCCAAATCAATTTGTGAAAATTTCTAAAATTCTTTAGAAATTGTTCATGATGGTTTTATTCTTTTTTCCAATAAATCCGGAGCCACTATTTGGCCGAGTATTAGCGGAAGAAAATTATGTGCTAATTGATAAAAACTTACAGTTTTGTCAATCAGTTTACGGTTTTCACCAAAATCAAGGATCTCCCTGTCTTCAATGCTATCAATGGCATCGCGTGGTGGCCAAAAACGACCTGAAGGAATCGTTATTGGAAGCGAACAGCCATATGCCAAAGAGCTTGTTTTTTGGAATGGTTCCGCCTCTTCATCTTCCAATTCTACTGAGCTTGCATGCAGATCTATAAATCATAGATTTGTGGTTAACTGCTCATGAAATTTTCTAAAAATCAACTTAGCACAACAAAAATATTTTTTTAATCTGAAAGTTTAAACATGAATCTGCTCAAATTTTCCAGATTTCAAATGACCCTGAATCAAAAAGACTTGGAAAAAGTGAAAGTTATGATCAACAACCATGAAAACATGAAAGAACTAAATATTATGTTAGGAAAGCCATATTTTTGAATTGTCAACACTTATAAAGTAAGAAAGTATCAGGTCGGCAAGGTTAAAAAATAAAAATAACGTTTTGCAAATAGATTATCATATGGACAATCCGCTCACATTCTAGAAGCTGCTATGCAGCTTCTAGAATGTGAGCGGATTGTCCATATGATTTATCATGACGATTCTTTTAAACCGTAGTTTTTATCATATTTGGCAGTAGTAACGGTGAAACTACAGAAAAAGTCGAAAATTAAAATAGCAGATGACCAAAGAATATACCTCTCTCCATAACCCGTGAATTTTCAAGGTGTCTTGCTCTAGCAGTCATATCCGCACTGCCTTCATTAAAAGTCAAATGCGCCTGAGACATATCAAAATTACCAGAATCTGTAAATTAAAAGTGTCAAAAATGGAATTATAATCTTTGTGACAACCATGTATCATTAAGAAAGTTTAACTTTATCTTAACTAAGTTTGAAACTAAGAAAATCTTAATTAAAAAATTCAAAACTTGATTTTTATAGTGATTGCTCTTTTAGAGTATGCTCCTTATCGCTGATGATAAAAAAAACTTTATATATATATATATATCATGGCGTAGTGAAACATGAAGTTTGGCATTTAAAAGCTACATCATTTCTTCAAACGAAAGTCAGTAGAGCTGAAAGAAAGTTCACAAGTTAACTAGAAATTTAAAGTCAAGGTAAATTAAAACAATTTATAAATTGAACAGTATTCCAGATCACGAAATAAATATCATCTGTCTTTTCAAAAACCTTTCCAAAATTTTAAACTAAACTATGGTGGACTAAAGCAAAGAACAGTGTAGAATGTAGAAAGTAAAAATAATTACTAGCAAGAACTTATTTTTGATAATTAAAAAATTTTGAATTTGAAAGAAAATATAGATAAACGAAGAATAAGCAAACCATTGGAGTGAACATCGTAAAATAGATCTAACATCGCAGACCTTTCATTTAAATTACCCGTTTCTTTTTCTGGCACCATATCTTCATCGAAAGAGAACAAGCCTTCTCCAATCACTACAAGTTCAGCTGATATATTCACTAAACTAAATAAAAGAGAATAGCTCAGTATGTGCTAACGTTCTATCAATTATTATGACAAGCAAGGCGAAAAACTTAATTATAGGGAGATAAGAGTAAGGCAAATTTCACATTATTGTAAACTTATAATTATTTTTATAAAAAAACATGGGTAAAATTGCAGTAAAGAAAGAAAGGAAAAAAGCTAGAGAAATCAAGAATCATACTTTCATCCCGTTCCTCGTCATATTCGTCTACATCCCTCCCGTTAACCTTTATAATAAGATCTGATGAGCCAGGAGACCGTATGTTGCGCACAAATCCGCTGTCTGCTTCCATTACCTAAAGTTCGAAATAGTGAATTCTAACGGATACAAAAATTCGAAAAAAGCACAGACAGAAAGAAGAGATAATAACAACGGAAAGAATGGACCATTATCCATCAGCAAGTAAATTCCAGAAATAAACCTCGAGTTCTCAGGAACTCTTTCAGAAGCAAGTTTTGCAATCAATAACGAGTATATACCAGTATCATCTTTCATTGAAATTTTGCAAGTAAAGAATTTAAATAAATAGGAAAAAATAATGAAATACAAACCACATCAGAAGTGGCCATTTCTGCGCAGTTCTTAGCAAACGGCTTCAACTTTACGGCCTCCTGGCAATGGAAATTTGATGATATTCCTATTAACGTTTTGTCTGCGTTCAAACTTCCCGTCTGTAGAAAATTTACGTTTCAATATCTCTCTTTGATTTTAATACTGAATCAATCAACGCATTTTATTGACATTAAAAAATTGCAAACAGCAATAAAATGACAATTTTTGATCTTAATCCATTAATCTTCACAAAACGTTCTTGACTATACGCAGAATGTTGTATTGAAAAAAATAATTCGATGATTGCTACTCGAAGGCATTTTGTTTTATTTCATACTTGTTTTATCTCCCTATAAAGTCTCAGTTTTCGAAATCTTTAATGAAATTTTTTGCACGCGGGCAATAATCATAACAGATGGATGGACGCTACGTTCCCTCGATACCAAAAGCGAGCTCAGAATCACACTTCTTTGTTCCCTCAATTGAGGTCAATGACGCTAACCAGTGACAGCAGATAAACAAAATGATTTGACGGATAAAATTATGTTCAACAAGAAAAGATAATGCATGTCAAATGAACGGACGATGGTCCTACTAATATATCACGTTAATTTTAAGATGATCTCTTATAAAAATAGCTTATGAAGTAAGCCATTTTTATGATTCAATTACTTATGCACGGTTTCTTCACAAGTCACCAATGATAGAGCACTGTTTCCCCTATATTACTTGCATTTATCTCAAATTTGCACTTCATTTCATTAATCTTAAATTTAATTGACAAGATTTTCAGCACTTATTAATCAATGACATCGAAATACTGAATTCAAATAATTTACTACATCATAAAATGACTATAGAAATGATTAAAAAACGAAATTTTGTTAGTTAGTTTCAAAAGCAATGCTGACAAGCTTACTTGTAAAGTCATTCCTTCTGTTCTTCTATAAAATAATTACATTAATTACTAACTATTCTAGCAAAATTGCATTTTTATCGTTAAGACATATTTTGAAGAAAAAACATGTTAGTCAAAAAATCAAAAACTCTCCATTTAATGAATGATTTCCTATGAATTGAAAGAGTACGGATAGATCAAACTTTCGTTTTTAACCGTTAATGCAAACATAACATCACTGATCATCAATAGTGATTAACATCTGTCACTAAGCAGTATTGATTTAGTTAAGATTTCTTAGTCAAATGCTTGGTCTACATATGTTGGAAAAGAATCCTCAAGAAAAAAAATATTTTATTGATCCTAGAAGTATTCGAAGAATTAGTAGTTCATGGACATTCGTTTTCCAGAATGAATGGATTTCCCTAATCCTCTCACTCCAAGAAAGTGCTTAACCGACCTTGCAGTTCGCCAAATCTTCATTCCAGGAAGTCTACAATTTTAATTTTCAATAACACGTAGTTCGTCGCGTGCAGATGAAGGAAAAGAGGAATTCCCAACCGGCGACTTTTTCAAAAATTGTGCGTTTTTTAGTTTCTCCATTCCTTTAATTATCAGATACATGTCAGCTGCTGTTCTGACTGCTCGACATTTAAACGCTCATTACCCGGTAATCAGAAAATTCAAAATATCGCAAACAGGCAATGCCTCGAAGTAAGCAGGAATGGCACATCTATGATTTTCCTTTTTCAGAGGGGAAAAAACATCGAACTGTTTCAATATTGTTACAGATTTATACAGTCGAGTTGTTATTGTTTAGCAAACTGTCATATCTTACTCAGTTAGTTAGGAGCATTCTTCAAAAATTCGAAATGAAGTAATCCATTTTTCAGATACTCCAGAATTTGATGACTTTTCTTGTTTCGATACAAGTACATTACAATCTCAAGCAACATTCTCATTAAGGTAGGCTGATAACCTTAAATTTCATGGTTAGATTACTTACAAAGAAAATGCTTGCAAATCGGTTTCCAGAAGATTTTGGTAGATATTCCAAGCTTTTTTCTACTTGCGTCATCGTTCTGATAGTTATCTGACAAAAGTAGAAACTGAGATAGGGAATTATTTTTTACTGCCAATTAATGTAAAATTATAAAATTAGAATAACTGCAATGAATGAGCTAAAAATTTGGACGGACGCAAATTAGAGG